AAGGAGAAGGAGAAGGAGAAGGAGAAGGAGAAGAAGGAGAAGGAGAAGGAGACCTACACCACCACAACCAAAACTATTGTTTCATATTTTTTTTCTGTTTCGAGGGGCGGTTTTTGGTTTGCTCCTGACGGATTTGCTCCCTCAGCTGCTCATGTCGCCAGGTTCTCCGCATTTATGCTGGACATCCGAATCTGAGAGCTGCTCTTGCTCAGAATGGACAGTTGTGTCCCCCCGTTCACTCCGCTGCTCGCTAGAGAAGGATGGCGATGTTTGAAATCCACAGCAAAATACCGGTTGACTTTCCAGCTCCTCCATTTTCTCTTTATTTCTGATTGCACCTTTAGGGAGAAACTTCAAAAGGTCATTTTTTATGTACTTCGCCGCTCGAGGACATGCTGATAAATTATCAAGATTAGAAAAAACCCCACAATTCCACAGAACTATTTTTAAGGCTGTTTGTTAAACTCCTCGCTTCAGCAAAATCTGAAGTGGCTTCTCCACGGCTGAAAGAGGTTCGGGCGTGTAGTGGGAATTACAGCCCAGGTTCTGTGTCTCTGGCTTCAGATAATTTAGGATCAGCCCAGAGGTGCCAAGAACAAAGACCTGTTCAGCACTAACTCCAACATGAAGGAAAAAATACCCTGTTTTCATCAAAGACATAAAAAGGAGCCAAAGAAACCAGCAAACAAAAGGTACTGGACAGTAGGGAAACAACCTGTCCCTGTGGGGAGCTTGTCTTGTGCCTGCCATTCATGGATGGGTGTCCATGGAAAACTTTGCCTCCTGCTTTCAGATCACCTCAAAGCACACACCAGCTCTGGGATTGACAGACATCTGTGACACCCTCCTTTTCTTGAGAGTATTTTATGGGCACCCACAGTAAATCACCAGGAGCAAAACAATCCGTGGTTAGAAGCTCCATTAGGGAAGAAGCAAATAATTCCATAGCTTTTGTACTTTTCATTCATCACCAACTTCCTGGCAATCCTGCTGGGTGAGCATGTGAGTATATATAGGTAAGATTTAATATAAGAAAAATCACATGAGCTTAGACCAACATTTACTTGGTCTGTTGCTTATTCCTGATAGGAGCCTGTAGCACATTTCTGAATGAAATAGTGCAAGAACAAGGAAGTATGTAGAGAGATTTTCCCAATATATTTTTCCAGCCTTCAATGAGCTGCTGTGACAAAGATGTTCTTTTTGGCTCTAACAGTCATTACTAGATTTTCCTGGACTAAAAGAGGTGTCAAAATGGATCATCATAACCCAAAATGCTAAACAAGTGCTTCAACTGTATGGGCAAAAACTACAGGGAAGAAAAATCCAACGGGAAAACTTGCATTCTCCTTCTAGTACCTCTAAATTCCTATTTTGGTTACTGTATAAATAATAGATGAGATGGAGTATGGAGTTATATTACCCCTATAAAATAGAAAATAGTGTTTGCACCTTGAACAGTGTAATTAATATACCAAAGGTGAACCCTTTCTTGCCCTAAGAAATTTAGTGAGGCACAAGACACTTTTTAATTACCATTCTCTGATGTCTTGAGAGGTAAAATGGTTTTAATTAATCTGCTTGTGTTGGTTTGGCCAACAACAACCCTCCTACTCCTTCCAAGGGGTTCCAAGAAATCTGACAGACTGTGCTTGTTATTTTGGAAGGTGTTTATCTCCAGGTTGGTTTTAGAAAAGACCTTTTGGCTGTTCTTTTAGCACTCAGGGAAGGTAATGGATGCAGCAACACTTGTAGGTGGGAGATTTAGATATTCAACACCACCAGGTGATGAAGTCTGAGTACAACCATTAATTCCAACAAGGCATGATCCAGATCTCACCCTCTGAGCTAGTGGGACTGACTGAGCTATGAATAATGTTTTCACAGCCCTGTGGGGCCTTTCAAAGCCACCTTGACTAAGTAAAGATGACCTATAAGTTTGTTTGATGAGCTTGGAGGTTGTTATCTGAAAAGGAATCACTTGGATCAAGGAGTTTGAGACCTTTTGTACTAGAAATCAGATGTTGCAGGCTAGAGATGAGCAAGCACAGAGCACCTACTGCACTCAGACTCCTTGGAAAGAAGAAAAGAAGGTGATTCTAGGGGTTTTAGAAGAAGACTACCATTGGACTGCACAAGAGATGTGTATCAGTGGTGGAGAAAATGGATGAACTCCAGATATCCCTCTTAAGGTAGCCTTGAGGAGGGAACATTTTTCCATTAATTGAGAAAATAATAACCTCAGGTATTCAGCTCGATAAACAAAGGCAGAGGAATCACAATTTGCATATAAGAACAGATGAATCAGTAAAAAAAAAATAACTAGTGTGGGAAGCTGACACCAGCAGCAGCAGCAGCTGTCATTTGCTGAGAGGAGTGTGAGGCTTGTAAGGTACCTGGGGAGGGTCTGAGAGGGTTTCTGGCACAGCTTGGGCTCTGTGTGTGTGTAGGGATCAGCTGGAAGGTGGCAGGTCTCAGAAAAGAAGCTGACAACACTTGGGTGCTGCCAGCAAGAGAGGCCAAGGACTTGTGAAAACTTGGAATTCAGCAAAGGGTTTGACACTATTTCCCCCAGCCTCCTCCTGGGCAAGCTGGCAAGATGTGGAGTGGGTGGGTGTCCTGCAAGATGGGAAGGAGGCCACACTCAGAGGGTGGTGGGAAAGGTTTTTTACTCAGGTTGATACCCTATCACTAGTGGGGTCCTCCAGGGATTGATGCTGGACCCCACACTGTTCAACATAGAACCATGGTATGGTTTGGGTTGGAAGGGACCTTAAAGATCAACCAATTCCACCTCCTATCATGGGCAGGGACACCTTCCACTAGACCAGGTTGCTCATCTGACCTGGATGTGAGCAATTCCAGGGATGGGGCAGCCACAGCTTCTCTGGGCAACCTGTGCCAGTGCTTCAATATCTTCATAACAATCTCAACAATGGGGTTCAAAGCACTTTCACCAGTTTGCCTGATGACACCAAACTGGGTGGTGACTGGACATGTCAGAAGGAAGAGTGACGTTATGGAGAGAACTGAACAGGCTGGAAGAGTGGGCTGGCAAGAACAGTGCCAAGTTAAACGAAACAAGTGCCAAATTCCACAAAACCAGTGCCAAATTCCACAAAACCAGTGCCAAATTCTGAACCTGGGGTGACATTTCCAAGGAGACCACTACAGCCCAGGCCCAGTTAGGGAGTGTTAATCTGGCCCATCATCTCTGGCATGGCCAACATTCTGGTTTAATAAAGACATCACACATCTTCTCTTTTTTTTTTCTTTTTTTTCTTTTTTTTTTTTTTGCTGAGAATTGTGAGATTCAGCCTAAGGTATCAGGTAGTATGGCAGGTGATGAGTTGGAGGGAAGGTTTAGGACAGCAGTCACTCCCACAAGGAAATGAAATGAGGAAGATGGGCGAGGGATGTTAAATATTGAAAGACTTACCTCCCCATTCAAGAAACAGTAGAGAACAGCAACAACAAAACCCTGGGAGAATGGGAGAGAAAAAAAAAATAATGCAATTTATGCAAAAAATAATGTAATTTATGAAAAAAAGTTAATGTAATGTAATTTAAATCCTGAAGGAATAACACAAAACAGCAGGAGTTAAAACAGGCAACGAACCAATCAAACCCAAAATCCTAGTACACAAAACATCCACATGGGTGAACAAGGACACACTCTGAGAACTGTGCATGCAAAGTATCTAAAAAAAAAAATAAAAAATAGAGATTTCATTCTAACAAAACCAGAATTCAGTGGATAATCACCTGGAAGGATCCCAGTCCCAATTCAAACACCAGTCTCTCCCTCTTACTGACATTTTCAGGCGAAAAAGCAAACACTGTGTAGTGAATTCCAAACAAGGGGATGAGCAGCAGCGTGGAGCGAGCCAGCCTCCTGTGACAACAGAGGGAAAGAACTTTAATGCAGCCTTGCAATAATCAACTTGTGCTTTAATTAAAGAAGAAAGCATAAAACGTTTTGCTGACTGACTTATGGGAAATACATACACTGCAGAATTATACAAACAAATACACGACATTCCTGCTTGTTCCCAAAGAGTGATTTCACACACACTGGAGTTTGCTCCCACTTCTTCCACACTGCTACAATAATAGCACGTTAATAGTGATTAATGTCCTGTTCTCTTATTTTAATTTTCATTGTTATAAGCAGGAATTTCTTCCTATTGTGCCCAAAAATGGAGAGGGGAATCTTGCTAAAGGATTCAGACTGCTACAGTAGAACAATTATAAACCTTAATCCCATGGAGTGTTTGAAACCAAATTTTTTCTATATTTTTTGCGTGTGTGTGTGAATTTTTTTCTGCAGAGCAAAAGAATTCTAAAACAACCATACAAATAAAGCCAAAAAACCAACAGCCACACAAATAAAGCTAAAAATCCTGTGTGTTCTTGTTCTTATACTCATGACTATTCCTCAAGATCTTGATTTTGGTCTCATTTATACTGTTAGAAAGCTAAGTGCAATTCCACTGTTTAACTAATTTCCACTGCTTCAGGATAAAGAAGTTTCAGAGAGAAATGTACATATAAATAAAAGGGCTAGAAATAAATGTATGTAAGCTCTTAACTGGTGAAATTCCCCAAAAACAGGGGGCCAGCCAAGACTCTTGCATGTTTTGGTCAGTGCCATTTGCTGATTGAGCAGCAAAAAAAAAATCAGAGAGAAAGTAAATGTTGATTTAAAAATAAGGAAATGTTTGGGTTTTTTTTAAACAAAGTGACCTAAAGTAATCTCTAGGACATTTTCAAAGGGGAAGAATGTCATTGATTACAATCAAGTAAGTTAAGGCAGATGGAGGACAAAAGAAGGCAAAAAGCTGTGAAGATTTTTCTGAGAGCTGCACACTTTTTAAAATTCGAATGTTCACTCTGCTTTTGTCTGTAGGGACACATTGGAATTTGCTAATTCATGCTCAGTGATAACCCAAAATGATGCGTTGGACAAACTGAAAGTGAAAACTTTTTTAATACATCTCCAAGAACTCTGAACTTATGATATTGTCCCCAACACCTGTAAATGGGACATCAGTGCATTGCTGGTGTCTCTCAGTGAGACTTTGGGCACTAACAGGGATAAATACATCCCAACTCTTGCCTTGAGACTGCACTGAACACGTCTGAGTCATGAGTCTCATGGACACCAAACCTCAAGGGTTGGTGAAAGACCCCAAAAACCAGAGAACACAGTTTTTGTGAGTTATCAAGTTAGACACTGGCCAAAAGTTTTTTTAAAAAAGCCTTGAACAGCCTTGAAATAGGTTGGTGATCATACAGAGTGTTCAGCTTTGGTGATCTCTAGAAAAATTAATCTGTACAGGAGTGAGCCAGTGTAATGGACTAAAAGAGCTTTTGGGGTCCCTTCTAGTCCTTTTTCTCTATGGACCTGTACTATGGTTAATGAAAATGAAAAGAAACACTGAGGAGAAGTATATAGAACAATGTTACCTCTATAAACCAAAAAGGATGTAAAGAAAGTGCCTTAAACTAATCGTGGAATTAAAAGAAAATCAAATTAAAGGTAGTAAACTTGATAAAGAAGTATCATCTCTCAAAATCTGTTATCCTTTATATTCAGAATTAATGCCAACAATAACAAAAGCATAAATGTTGTTTTGATCTAAAAGTCAGAATAGAATTGTCTATTAGTGTGTTCTCCCTCACTGCACTCATGGGAGATTAATTTTGGGAAAGATGCAGAGGAAGTCTTTTTCTATTGTCAATTTTGTGGCACTAATTACACCTGATTAATCATACAATTAGTTTGTAGGATCTTGAAGTATAATGCCATGATCAAATTATTTGAAATGCTGTCTTTAGTACTGTCATGAAAGTCATGAAGAAAATATATTAAAGGTAAGAAGTAACACATTCTGGAGTTTACAGATAATTAAGATGAATGAAGAGGAAAAGCAGATTTCAATAATGGGAAAAAATTGAGAGATACTGATGACTGTAAAAATGATGATGAATTGATTTTTTTTTCAAGATTAGGAAGAAAAAAGATGAAGTAATTTCTGTGAAACATGTAAGTTTATGGGGAATGAAAATGTTAAAGGAGACAGTGGAATTCTCAGCAGTGTAACAGCCAAAGATATTTATCCTCTTTTCTTTCCACACTTTTTCAGAGAGGCAAGAAACTTGTGGGATGGATCTGAAAGTTCTGAGGACAATAATCACTCAGTTAAAATTAAATTGCCTGTTTAGAAGACAACATTCTCCAGAAGGTCTAGTGAAAGCCTTGTTTACATTCCATCAGGCAGAGAAAAGTCTTAAAGCTATTAAAAAAAAAAAAAAGTTGCATTTCAGTTCTTGTTGAGCCTGATGTCCTATTTTTCAGCTGTTATTGTGCTTAGAATCAGTTTTAACACAAGGTTTTCTCCTATAGTTTGGCTATGAATGTGCCCTTTCCATAAAGTACAAACACATGCAGATATTGGTGTTCTCTGTTTTTCCTCACTCCTCTATTGAATTATGAAAAAATCTCTTCATATTAACAGGAAAAGAAAGTAGAAAGGTTTTCTAACTTTGACCAGTATTTGAAGGAACCATGTTTGTAGTTTTCCACAGTACATCCACACTTATTGAAAGCACTGAAGTGTCTATGGATATTACAAAAGACAAAACTGGGCATGAATTTGAAATTAAAATACAGATCACATTGTGCTGCTGAGTAGAATTTCCAGTTATTTCTACTGAATATTTCAGTGTGTTTCTATTCCACATTTTAAAACAGGTTTCTAGAAGACTAATTAATGCTCTGATTAAACATAATAATAATTGCACATCAGATTAAAAAAGAATATTTTGATCAACTGTGCAGTAGGGAACAAGGACCAACGGGTTCTAAATGGTCTAAATAGATTCTTCTACCTCTGGTGAAAGGGATGTAACGAAGATACTTCTCCAGACTCAGAAACTGCAGATACAAGTGCAAGAACTGCTGAGCTGGATGTGTGATGGTGCCATTTGAAATGAATGGAGACCATCAAAAACCTGTGTCCTCTAAATCAGGGGACCTGAAGCTCCAGGAGGAATTTAGTAAGGAAATTTGGGATTGTCACTCTACTTTCTGTCTCTGAGAGAAAGGTGAAGATGGCAATTTAGAGGTTACTCTCCCATCAGTTCCAGGTATCTCCACTACACTGAGGATGTGTCTTGTGCCACGTCTGCAGCTGCTTCTGTTGGACTCACTGCAGAGTTGTGTAGCTCAAAAAAGCCACTGTAACCTACAAAAGATCTGAGATGACACTGGGTGCTCTTAAGCTAAGAGTAACTTTTACTCTGGCAAAGAGTTTGGTTGCCCTGATCTCAGAAATTCTCACCACCCAACTTCTTTGAGGCAAAAGATCACAGACTGCCCAAAGAATCAAAAGATCTCCAAACCACAGAATCTGAAGAAAGATTATGCAGTTGTTTTGCTATTTAGTCCTGCCTGTTTAAAGTCAGAGAGTTGTTCAGTTTAAAAGCTGAGTCTTGAATGAAACACTTGGATCAAATATAAACTTTTGGGACGAAGACATCAAGGCCTGTAGTCATGTAAAGCAACATTCATCTCACCAAGGTTGGGACATACATAAATGTAGGTATTGATTATGAAATTATTAAAATAATGTCTCTAAATTCAATGTGGAGAAAAAAATGCACTTTTAAGGCCTAGTTCTTGCCTGCTATAGGTGTCTCTTTAAGAAGAGGTGACTTCTGTTGTAAACCACATGGGTATGCACTGAATGCATCTATTTATGTATATATTGATCAGCTTCATACTATGAGACATCTGCAATGATGACATCTAATTTTAGTTAAATTAAATCCACATTTACATTCCCTTCATTGCCTGTGAAGAGTAAGAAGCACTTACACACCAGGACAAATCACCTGCCCCTAAGGAAGTTCTTATCACATCCTAAATCTACCCATTGTCCACAAAGGGAGTCTGGACTGAGTTTGCCACATAAATTGCTGCCCTTGTGAAGTTCAGATTATAGGAATCCAATTTTTTCTGGTCAAATGTGCACATCCATCATCTCAGTGGTGAGTATGTGCAAAAAATAATCATGACAATATTTCAGATAGAAGGATAAAGAGAAAACCATGAAGATACATGCTGGCATTAATGATGAAATGCTTGATATAGCTCATGTTTAATAAACTGAAGTATCTATTTTATCACAAAGATGGTAATCACAGTTAACATGATTTCAGGAATCTGAATAATCTCCCTGACAGATGCATGCCTTTTTAAAAATTAGGTCTGTAGGATCACTTCCAAAATCCCTGAGATAATACCTAAACACAGCAAGTGATTACAGCTTTTTAATTTTCCCATGCACAAACCACATCTTCAGACCAAGGACTTGGAAAACAGGGAAGCTTACTGAGACTTCCATATTTTAACACCAAAAAATTAGGTTTAAATATCTCCTGTTTAGGCTGATCTCTCCTTGCCATTGACCAGGCAGAGGATTTCACCTCAGATAGTTGTCACTGTCCCATCTTTCTAAAACACTGCATTTAATATGACATTTGTTCCTCTGCAAAGGCTCAACATGAAGTCTGTGCTGCATCAGGGTGTCAGTTAAGCAGTGAACTTAAATCTCCTCCTAAATGTAGGTCCTAGTTTTACTTAACTGCTCTTAGTCTTCATCTTCTCAAAGTGTAGAAGATAAATATGCTAATTGTTCTTTTATTCTCTGCTTTTATTATTTGCACATTATCAACCTTTTGATTGAATGTTTTGAACATCTTCATCGATCTGTTTCTTAAGTATCTTGAGGAGATGTAAAATCACTGAGAAAATTCACTTTCCTGGGTTTTTTTCTAGCTAAAAAGGCATAACTAAATCTGTAGTTAAGTTACAAAACAATCTCTTTTCCTTAATGGTGTGAAAAATAATTACTAAGGATTCCTTAGCAAAGCCCTGGAGTGCTGGGTCTGTGTGTCAGGGCATCTCTGAGAGTGCTGATTTGAACTTATAAAAATGCTGTGAAATTCAGGAGGCAGATCATCAGAAAACATACTGCACAACAGACCTCTGAAAGATATTCCTCACCTACACAAAATGCGATGATGACCTTGGAGGTCTTTTCCAACCTTAAAAATTCTATGTATCCATGACAACCTGTGGGCTTCTTGTATGAAACAAGGGGTGAGGTGGACTATGGAAAAGTGATTAACTCACACTCTCTAGGCTGAATGGCATTTACTCATTCTTCTGGATGCCTCACTCTCAATAGACAAGTGTTTGACAATGACTTCAACTTGATGATCTTGGAGGTCTTTTCCAACCTTATTGATTCTATGATTCTGATTTCTGACTAGACACAAACTATTTTGATATTAGGTTAATCTCAACTTTTCTTCACCCCTAGGTGTTTGCTAACATAACTTCACTGAGTTTTATACCCATGTATAAAAGATGTTTTATACCCACTGAGAGTCTGACTGACTCAATCTTGCCTTGTCCTTGTTTTTCTAGCAAACTTTCAGGTGAAATATTTCCTCTCAGCATGAAGGTATTGTATAATAAAGAGCAGCTATTTATTAACCCCAAACCATAAATAGCATCAGCCATAAGTACAAAAAAAAATTAAAAAAAAAATAAAATAACCTTAAAATCCTCAATTGTGGTGCATCAGCAAAAGCACAGAACAAGAACAAAAAAAATTCTCCATGCAACAAGAACTCAATGAATGCTTGCTCTCCGCTTGCTACCCCTCCGCTCTTATCCATTCATTTAATTGCAACATGCTCATACAAACACAGTAATGTCACAGGAGTGTGAACACTTACAGGGTAATGGTTGATAGTTCTGACATCTTGCAAGAGTGCTGGTTAGCCCTCTTAGGCTTACAGTAGCATTTCTGAACGCAGCTGCTAAATATGACAAGATTAGCAATTTTTTTTTTTTCAGCATCTCGTGAACAGGCCAAGGTAGGTCACTCACAACACATTTCATGAGACACGTCACAAAGATGGAAAGCAGACACCACAGAACGGAGCTACAGCACAAACCAGCTGCTTGACTGAAGCAAAAATGTAAATTAAAAAATATAAATTAAAAATGCACCGGCTTTTGCTGGCGATTTAATGTGTTGGGTTCACGGACAAGCCAAAAACTGAACGACCTGAAGGCAGCGTTAGGCATCCAAAATATACACGACCTTTGCAGCCTGGGGGTTGTACAGAGGGTCACAGAACAATATATTCAATGGAAATCGACTGCATGCTTGTGGAGAACAGTCAGATAGGAACATAAACTTGTAGGGTGGTGGTCAGCATAAGATGAAGTTGGATCAGATGTTCCTCATTTTCGTGTGTGAGCACCCAGGGTGTGTGGATCCCTTCTTTTTAGCAAAGGGTACTAGTAAGGACACCAAAGCACTTTCTCACCCATCTTCCTTGGTGGTGGGGAGGGAATTCAGTGTGGAAACTGCAAGTCTGGAGGGCTATTTGGATGTACCACTTATTTTTTGTCCCACACACTAAGGCAGTGTAGCCACAAAAGCAGCAGGTACATAAACTGTGTAACCAGGACCGTGATCTCTACATGTTGTATCCCAGAAAGAGCTGCTGTGTGGGGAACGGGATGGTCACATTTACAACCAGCCAGAGAGGGGCTAATTTAAATCAGCCACCAAGGAGGTGATTTGAAACATGGGAAGACATTTGGAGGGATCTTGTAAGAGAGTTTATGACTGATACAACGGGCTGAAAAACACAAAAATTGAAAATAGCGGTTTCTTGTCGACTCTAAAGCGGAGATTTTTGGTTTTGCTTTCAACACGTGGTTGTTTTGGTGGGATTCACCTCAGGGAAGATTGGATGTTTACAGTGTGAATATCTAAGCAAACTGGAAATCCTCATCCTTTGAGAATCATCAGAGAGAACAAGTAGTTGAGAGAGAAATACAGTTATTGGCCAGGGTATATCCAAACTGTTTTAGATGTCCACTTTAGGATGGGATGAACAGCACTCCAAACACCACTGAGCACCCTGACCAATCTCCAATTAATATAAAGGACAATATGATGAATTTTAAAGCAATTGCCTTCAAGGTAAACATCTAATTTTGTTCCAACAAACCAAACTCTCTCTCTTGCTCTGCTAAAAGGCACAATCTAAGATTTGTGGTCACCTAAGAATAGATGGAAGATGGAGCTTATAAGCTGAACAGTAAAACAGTAAAACAGAAAACATACTAATTTCTCCCCACTTTTAACTCCTTTAAGTCAATCCTTGTTACTAGAGGGGCTTTTTTTGTTTCTTTTCTGGTAATCAAAGCCTGAAAACTGTGTTGCTCTTAAATATTATTGTATAAAAGCTGGAAATAATACAGTATTTGTGGTATGCACACATCTAGCAAATAGGAATAGTAATCGTGTTTCAACTTGTAAAATTAATTCAGTTCTTGGATGATGCTCAGGAAGTAAATATGAAAATGACTGTTCCTTTTGCAGCATCACTTCTGTGATAAATTTCTGAACCATCTCTGTTTTTCACAGAGTTAAGTGGGGGATTAATTGTCAGCTAAAACTGATCAAAATCAAGGAGGGAAATTTTAGAGTTAATTCAATGTTACTATGACTGAGACTTTCAGAAGTGATTATGGATTCTGAGTGTCTCATTTTTTTTATCACCTGATTGTTCTGAAACACATTTTCTCAGACCAATTTTTACCACAAGAGGGCTGCTCAGCCTGTGTTGAGAAGGAGCACTTGTGAAGGCATTTCCAGGCACAAAACCTGAAAATGAGGCATCTAAAAATCAATCATGACTTTGAAAACTCTTAGTCATGGGGTGTTGTAGTGATTTGTGTTCTTCAGTTATATACTTAATGTTGCCATGGAAATCTGGAAAAAAATTCCCCCCCCATGTTTACTGCTTGTGCCCTGTTTTATTTCACAGGGATTGATTTTTTAAATAATTTTTTCTAGTGAACAGACCAACATGACAGGACTTGGTATTTGCTAAAATTATCAAATAGGACAGACTTGATTTTGAAAGTAATATCTAAGAATTAAGTGCTGCTTCCCACCTGAGGAGGGGGCATTTCCACACGGGCTTGTGATGAAAAACTGTGAGCACTTCTTAGGAGAGTTAATGTTTTTTTATTTCCATCCTTTCTAATTTAGGTATAATCATCTCTCTGATGTTAGATGTTGTAAAGTGTCCCAAAATCTTTAGAGTACAGATTTTGTAGAAGTTTTCTTTCCTTCCTCCCTTTATAAATAAACTTTATTTACTTATTATCAAAACAGAGACATTGGTGGAAGGAGAGAGAGAAAAAGAGAAGAGACAGAGGAGGCAGGAACCAGAAAGGAATGTGAAGGAGGAAAAAAATCAGACAAATAAGAGAAAATTAATAGAAATGAGATTATGGATATCCAAACACTACATGAATCAGGGCAGGATCCTCAGACCTCTGTGGGCACACACAGAATGGATTCGGTCACGTCTAACTCTGCGTGTTCAGAGACAAACTTAAACTGAGCTGTCACCTTGGAGTCACTCAGTCATGGAAAGAACAGGGACTTCCAGGCTGAGCTGGAAGAGGCATCTCAGACACACGGGGTGCAGTGTCTGACGGGGGTGCCCCGGGGCTCCCAGTTTGACCATAAGACGACGACTGGACTGCTCAGATTAAATACGAGACTTGAGACAGCTAAAGGCAAACAAGCTGAGTCTCACCGCACGTGTCCTGGGCATGGACTGCAGCTGCATCTGGGAGGAAGAGGGAGGGTGCTAGGGTGGAAGGGGAAAGAAAAAGTTAAACATTCCCAGGATTCAATGAGTGATGTACGATGTGGCTGAAGGCCACCTTATCAGACTTGAACACCTTGACGGCCCCGGCACGTTAATGCAAATGAGAGAGTACACAAACTGGAGGCAAAAATAGTTGCAATTCGGTTCTAAAGGCTTTTGTGGGTTTCTCAGAGGGACTTAAGGGAAGTAAAATGAACATGCTGACCCAGGGGAATGAAGTTATGCTGCATTATCCATAACGAAAATGGTCAGGGTTCTGAAGTTAGGTCTCTACCGACACCCAGGGAATGACAGAATTTGTGGCTTGTCTCTGAATATGCTGATAGGGAATCCTTTGGGAAACACAGTAAAGGTAGAATTTGAGTCATGCAAATAAAAACTGTGCCTCATTAAGGATCTTTTTGCACCCTGCTTGGGTCATTCTGTGTAACCTCACTATGAACAGGATTGGCCACCATGTAGTAGGAGGAGAAGGAATGTAGAAACAAATCAATGAAATAAAGTATTGAAAGTACAGTAAAAAGTTAACCAAAGGGAGAGTAGAAAGATTGTATGGGAGAGAGAGGAGAAAATTGAAAATTGGACCCATATAATCTATTATTTATGCCACATACCTACTGTTACCCTCAGCTGACACTGCTATGGGTCGGGAGACTTCCCCTTGCTACTCAGTAGCTGAGGAATTCCTGAAGACGGACTTTCCTGGCCAATACACCAACTACATTCACAAACCCTCTGGACTTACAGATCAGATGTAAAGAGTTTGGAAAACTGAACTTGTGCTGTGAGCAGGAAACAGACTGCACAATTCCATCCCACTGCAGTGACTGCAGGTCTGACCTACCATGTGCAGGTCGAGTCATTGATCCCCCTCATCCACACACAGAATAAAAATTGTCAGCAAAATTGTCCTTTAGTTCCACCTCATCTAATTTTTGAAGTTAGCAATGTATCTGGGTGCTTTTCACCTTGTTACCCCATGCCAGCTTTGCAGTAAGTGGTGAGAAACAGACCATAAATTGAGATTTACCTGACCTGTTTTAAACATCTTTTTTAAAAATTAAATAAGTTGTACTAAGAATTTAATTCTCTGGACTGAGTAGATCTCTACTGACTATGAAAGGAGCCCAGCACCATTATCTTATTAAACCGTGTGGATCCTGTGCTGCCTTGCTAAAAGTACAACCACTGTTGTGCTCTTCATGGAAAAAAAAAAGAAAAAAAAGGAAACTGTTTCTCTAGTCTCTGATTGAAAAGAAATCCAAAATTCTCAGCCTTGTTACCTAGAGCTCTGCTTTTCACTGCTAACACCATCAAACTTGGAGGCTGAAGGTGAATTACTGCTTACAGATTAATGCTCTGGCTGAAAATGAATGTTTAACCAATATGAACTTGGACAAGAACTTTTTGCCCCAAAAAATCTGACGTTTGAGCAGATCTGAGGCTTGAAGATGCAACAGAACGGTCAAAGAGAGCCAAAAATTATGTCTACACTGTTCATTCTTGGCTTTGCTAACTTCTGCAGGGTGGACATCAAAGGATGGAGAAAGCCATTGCTACACCCCGAGATCAAATAATGAAGAGATTAAAGTTTAATATTTGCCTTTGCTCTAGAAAATAAAGCTGGAAGCGGAGAAGAGAATATTTCCATGAACTGTAGCTTCAAGGTTACATGTCCTGATCCTTCCTCTGCAGTAACTCTGGAGGTCCTGTTTTACTAAGCTGGGCTATTCCCATTCCAGAGATACGTGTCATGGGCTGTGGAATAATCCTGCTGGAAGTGCAGGAACGTGAATGCGGTGCAGCAGACAATAGAATGTTTAATGAGAAAAATGTACCACTGGAAATGAGATTCTTAAAGTGGTTTTGAATGTAGCTTTAGTGTTTGGAATGAAGAATGTGCACGTCCAAACGCAGACATAAATATCTGAGAATGTGATTTAGCTCATTGTCCTCAAAACAAAACAAAGGAGCCAAACCCACAGAGGATTTGTTGTCACAGTCTGCCACAAGAAGTGGGTTTTTAGGCACTGAAGACAGGTTTTGGTCCTGTCAGCTCAGTATTGGTATAACTACACTGAGTTTATATAATTTGCAGCTCTGAAGCTTCAGTTACACTGTTTTGACTCACCTGCCTCACATATCACACGAGATTGCTGCAGACGAGGATTCAAGTTATAAACCATCTCTACAAGCCTCTTAAATGAAAAAAAGAGAGTGCTGCCTTTGTTGAAAAAGCCTGGGCTTGCAGACATTTAATCAGCTGAACAACTCCAGTGTTTTCATTGGAAATATAAAGAGGAATTTCAGTTTGGGAATCTCTCAGTAATGATACAGGCAGGCAGCAAATGAGGTACTAAGGCTGTGATGTGAAATTTAGGCACAACTTTGGATTGGTCCTGTCTTGAGGTGGTTTACATTTGATTAAGCCACCTTCACTGAGACTTAATTCAATATTAAGCCACTGTAAACTGGTGGATTTTGAGAGTGTGCTTGTACACTCCAAGGCAGGAAGAGTTTGTTCCTGGAAAATTAAACTGATTGCTTTGCACCACACACTTCCTTTTACACACAGCGTTAGCTACAAGAGCCTCACAAGAAGTTCATCTTTCCGGATCAAAAGACCATGTGCACTGGGACAGCACCATCTTTCTTGTCCCTTCCATACCTCAGGCAGTGTCCTTGCATGGAGTACATCCTAATAACTCCTCAGATGTAGAACTAAACCCCCTGGATGTGAAACCTGCCAATTGCTGAAGTGAGGCACAATAAATCAATGTCAAGGAGAAGCAGAGACACTGAGAGGAATGTAAACTTCTTTTCTTCTCACATGATAGAGGCAAAAATGTGAATGGCAGCAAAAACTAAATGGAAGACCACGGATGCTGGTGTGCATCAAGCTTTGATGGAAATTGAAAGCATGTTCAAGATCTGAGATATCAGAATTACTCCCCATTTCCTGCAGTCTCACAACAACCAAGGCATGACCAGTTGCTTCAACTCCACCTTTGTCTTTACACCAAGTAACTGATTCAAAGAATCAGAGGTGCAAACTGACTGAGGGAGAAACAAATTTTCAGATCTATCCCTTTCAGTCTAACAGTGTGTTCAAAACAGGAGAATATGAGCAACGTGGGAGGGAAAGGGCAAACAGCCAGAATGGTCTAATTTGGATATTCCCAAGTTAATTTTCAGTTTGAATCTTTTGAAATTTTTTCTCCATTTCCAAAACCATTATCTTTCCCAGTAAGCAAGCGAGCTACTCTGCTAAAAGATGCTGCACCCACATCCATGGGTAATTGGTAAAGATGCATGGCCTCAGGCACTGGATGTTCCCTATCCTGCTGATCTCCATGACAACTGAAGCTTATCAATACAGATCAAAATTAGGTTATACACTTTGACGAAGTGCAGTGACTTCAGAAACGTATTTGAGGTCTGTATCACATTTTCCTTACAAAAGCTGCCTTATTTCTGCTAATCAGCGAGCTCAAGTGCGTGGCAAAATTTATAATGTTACAGCAAATTTAGTTGAGTGCAGCCACTTTCCCGGTACAGTAAAGAGGCTTTGTATTGTGCACGTTGCTAAAGTATTTGCGGTCTTTTAAAAAGCAATGCTGGAACCATTTGAGATACATATATATAGAATTTCAGACAGTACATGCGTAGGCAAAGACCTATATTTACACAGGCACCCAACAGATGTAAGCACTTCCATAGAAATCCCACTGGCTTCAGCCTCCGGATGTTGGGAGTTCTGTTCCATACCAGTTATGGCAATCAAGCCATGATGGTTTAGTGCTGTCTTTGAAAGATGTTTGGATCTGAAATTTCCTGAGATATGACACTAACATTTCAATGGGAAGCCTAAAGACACTATTTAGTTCTTTTTTTGGTGCCTAAAACTCTTTGGAAACAGGCTGTTAGGGCTAATCCAACCCTGGATAGAAGTGAGAGCCCATCAAGCTTTACTGTGCCTCCTTAAAAAAATAGGAAAAAAGAGAATTGCACTATTGGATAAAACCTGGCTTTATTCTGTCCCTCACTAACCTGAACAACTGCTTGATCTTTCCAGAGAAGGATCATCTTTTAGTGGCTTCTCTTTTAATCCAAAAATGCTCTTTTCCAGTTCATGGCTTGCTCTTGTAACAGATGGGGGGGAAAATTCTGTGCTTTCCTTTTTTAGTATACAACCCATGGACAAGGAATTTTGCTGTCTAAGGCTGCCACAGATCGTGGAGCCAAGCAGAAATTCCAAGTCACCATTAGAGAATTCTTAAAAAAGTTAGGCAGAGATCAAAATATCAACTCTTCCATCAACCACAAAAATCAGCCTTGTATCCTTTCCTCTGTCTGTATATCCATTTAAACCATGAAACTACCCATAAGAAAAATCCTACAGCCACTTGCAAAACAGTGTTTAAAGACAGAATCATCCTATTTTTCAGTATCACTGCAGAACAGAAGACAAGAGGAGTCAGCTTGCACCTCACAGACATCACCTGTGCAGGCCGAGGCACGTGGCCTTGCACTCTAAAAGCCACCTTCTAAGGATTTCCAAATAACAGAAGCAGAACACTTTTTAACATTGCATTCACCACGGGTGATCTTGTAACCAGGAGAAATAACTTTTGTGATCCATGATTTCAAAATCAGATCCTGTCAAGTGCTTGTGTATCGTTGGACATGAGTGGAATTTCTTCTATAAATACTGATTTGCTCTTCTGGAATATCCCTCTGGCCCATGGAATAACAAAACCACTTTCAGGGTGGACATAATTTTGGGTCTAATCTCATCATCAGTGTAGGAATGTAAAAGATGCATTCTGGATGAAAGGACAGTGTTTAGGTTAGGAAGGTAGATTTGACAATCAAAGATTCATTGTCCTCTACTTGCCACAGGCACCTGGGGGATTTTGAGTATCCCCCTCTGTGCATCATACCCTCAGTTGTTCAAGGGCAATAACAGCTGCCAGGAA